CTCTCGGTCCCTAAGAGGACCTTCGGGTCCTAAGAGGCTTCGACTCTTATAAGGGGGTTTCGGTTCCTAAGGTCCATTTTTCTCGTTTTTACCCCGTTTAAAGCCGTTTTTGACCCGGTTAAGGGTTGGGATGGCCCGAAAGACTATAAAAAGTCCAAGGAACTTTTGAGAGAGATTTGGGAGAGATTTGGGTGAGATTTCACACACTTGGAGAGATTTCTCATACAAAGAGATATTTGGGAGAGGTTTCACATACTTGGAGAGATTTCTCATACGACGAGATATTTGGGAGAGATTTGACATTCTTTGAGAGATTTGGGAGAGATTTGACATTCTTAGAGAGATTTGGGAGAGATTTGACATTCTTAGAGAGATTTGGGAGAGATTCTTGATGAGAAGAGATAGAGTGAAAACGATTGAGAGAGGTTTCGTGTGTGACAAATGTGAGTGTCCGGCTTCGCAATGCAAGGTCCGTAAACCCTGTTAAGCCTTGTTTAAGGATCTTACACACTCCCGATGAGTATGCAACATTGTTTTATCAGTTCAATTCATTGATTAGCACTAAGGCTCAGGAAATTTTAACACAAGGGCTTTTCCCAAGTGATGTTTTCCCATTAACATAACAAGTTATACAGTATGTACATAACACAAACCCTAATACACAAGGTTTAATCGAGTTGACCAGTTGACTTGATGACTTGACTTGACTCTAGACTGACGATTGTCACATCCGAACAATAAATCGAGAAATATGTCCTACTTTTAGAGATGCATGTTACGCTTTAGGGCTTCTAGACAATGATAGGGAGTATATTGAAGCTATTAAAGAAGCAAGCCATTCAGCTACTAGTTATTACCTACGGTCATTATTTTCAATGATGTTGATATCTGATAGTTTGGGAAGACCAAAATTTGTTTGGGAAAATACATGGAAATACCTTTCAGACGGAATTCTTTACAATCAACAACGCCGGTTAAAGTCTCCTGGTATAATACTTAGCTTTTATTTATTACTTTAACCTTTTTTTATATAAACTATATATTTGTATTTTTTTTCTAAGTTTATATTTACCATTGTACAGATTTATCTCTTACTGATCATTAATTGAAGAACTTGACTTTTTTTGAGATTAAATCATTTCAACTTCGTAACAATTCCACCCTCAAGAACTTCACAGGCATGCCTTACCCAGATTTTGATTGTGTATCTTCTTCTAATAATCGTTTGATTACTGAGGAGTTATTTTATGACATCACAACTCTTCAAAACGAATTTCAAACACTGATTGTTTCATTAACAAAAGAACAATGAGGTGTTTTTGAGGATGTCATGGCAGCAATTGAAGATAATAAAGGAGGTGTGTTTTTTGTTTATGGTTATGGTGGAACAGGCAAAACCTTTCTTTGGAATACTTTATCAATAGCTATCAGGTCTACAGGACAAATTCTTATGACTGTTGCTACAAGTGGTATTGCTTCTTTGTTACTAACTGGAGGTAGAACAACACACTCTTGCTTTGGTATTCCATTAAATCTTACTGAAAATTCTATTTGTTCTATAAATCGAGACAGTGATGCCTCCAAATTACTAAAACAAACATCGCTGATTATTTGGGATGAAGCGTCGATGGTTCATAAGCATGCATTTAAAGCATTGGATCGCACTTTAAGGGATGTTTTAAGTTTTGGTAACGTTAGCAACTCACATATCCCGTTTGGAGGTAACGTAATCGTCTTTGGAGGTGATTTTAGATAGATTCTACCAATTGTTTCTAATGGTAGTAGACAAGAAATCGTCAACGCGTCGTTAAGTTCTTCATATATATGGACAAATTGCAAAGTTTTAAAATTAACGAAGAACATGAGGTTGACTGTTGGAAAAAATCCGTTTGAAATACAACAAACAAGGTTACTTGCAAATTGGCTCTAGGATATAGGAGAGGAAAATACTGGTGGTTCTAATGATGGTGATGCAATTATTCGTATTCCTGAAGATCTTCTTATTACTCAATCTTCTGATCCTATAGGTTTATTAATTGAGTTTGTATATCCATCATTTCTTGACAACTTGAACAATCCCAAATATTTTAAAGAAAGACCAATACTTGCACCGAAAAATAGAGTTGTTCAAGAAATAAATGATTGTCTGCTTTCATTGTTTCCTGGAGAAGAAAAATAATACCTTAGTTCAGATAGCATCTGCCAGACAGAGTTTATTCACAATCAGTTTGATGAGAGTTTATATTCACCTAATGTTCTAAATGGACTTAAAATATTCGGTTTGCCAAACCATTAGTTAATTTTTAAGGTCGGTGTTCCGGTTATGTTACTAAGAAATATCGACCAGAAAAATGGGTTATGTAATGATACTATACTTCAGGTCGTATCATTAGGTAATTGCATCATAGAAACAGTGGTCTTAACTGGATGTAACATTGGGCATCAAGTTTTTATTTCAAGGTTGTCTTTAACACCTTCAGGCAACAAAATTCCATATAAGTTCAAAAGGAGACAATTTCCCCTAGTGGTTTGTTTTGCTATGACCATAACTAAAAGTCAGGGTCAATCGTTAAAAATGGTTGGGTTGTTTTTGTAAGAACCAGTTTTCTCACACGGTCAGTTATACGTTGCTTTATCTAGAGTAAAGAACAGAGAATGATTGAAGTTATTGATTTTAGATAAGGATGGTAATTTGACTAATAAAACTTCCAATATTATGTTCAAGGAAGTATTTCAAAATCTATGTTGAAGTTTTATGTTTGTTTTTTTAAATCAAATAAAGTTGTACTTACTTACCATCCATAATCAAATGCTTTTTTACATTTATTAATCTTTTTGGTCTATATAAATTTTTTAACTTATCACCCGTTGTTTCCATGAGTTATAACCTAGTTTAAATAATAAATTTAGACAATTATAATACTTTAAAAGTTTATATATATATATATATATATATATATATATATATATATATATATATATATATATATAGGAAAGGGTTATAAAGAAAATAAAAAAACCTAAAAAAACCCTAAAATTCATAAAAATGCATAAAAAAATACTTACAGATCACAAATCTTTTTTTTTTGACTTTATATTTCTTCAAAATCGCAGCTTTTTTATAAATTCGTTGAAAAAAAATTTAAAAATCGATCTTTTATTATTTATTTATTATTTTGGTTTTTTTTTTCAAAAAAAAAAAATTCAACGAATTTATATAAAAATGTGCGATTTTAAAGAATATAAAGTCAAAAAAAAGTTTTGTGATCTCTAGGTATGTTTTTATGCATTTTTATGATTGTTAGTGTTTTTTGTTTTCCATACAAACCTAAACCTATATAATATATATATATATATATATATTATATATATATATATATATATATATATATTATATATATATATATAATTTTTTTTCAAACAGTGGCAAGTCATGTCTCTGTAATATATTCACTCTGTCTCATATTAATTGTTCATGTTTTCTTTTTGCCTTATCCCTAAATAATAACCTATTTTTAAAAAATATATATATTTTTACCAAAATATTCTTTATTATTAGTTAAATTATCATATAATTAAATCCAACTGCAATGAAATTAAATGCAACAAAAAAATAAAGTTGTCATATTATTTAATAAAGACATTGATAATTAATAATTTTATGAGTAAATAAGTTATACATATAATATATAATTAACAGAAAAAATTAAACGAAAGGTCCTTGATGTTTTGTTTTTTTCCCCTAAAGTAGTCCTTACTAAACGTTTTTCCTTAGATGGTACCTACAGAGTAAACCATGCACACAAATGATCCTTATGATTGACTTTCTTAACGAATTCTGTTAAGTGTGTATGAAAACATGAAAAATGCCCTCTGTGTTTTATTTATTTATTCATTTTTAATATTTTTTTAATTTGAAATTTAAAAAAAAAAGGTGGGTCTCTCCCTCTGTGTTTTATTTATTTATTCATTTTTAATATTTTTTTAATTTGAAATTTAAAAAAAAAGGTGGGTCTCTCTCTCTCTCTCTCTCTCTCTCTCTCTCTGGAAAAACGAATCAGATTGAAGAACGTTGTTGCCTCCTATCTAACCTCCCTCCAGCCACCTGTTTCACTTCCCACTCCGATCAACAGTACCATTGGTGACCCTCACTGCTTTCCTCGACGATTATTGGCTCTTCTTTCGCTATTCGTGTTTGTTGCCGATTGGACCAGAAAAAGAAAGAAGATGCCAATGACAACCTTCTGTCGGCTCCCCTCTTCGTGATTTGCTAAACCACCCACCGTACCACCTCTTATTGTTGTTTTTGAAACACTAACTATGATTTTTGAGGGTGAGCGCTTTTAGTAATCATGTGGACGATGTTTGTGGTTTTAGTGTGTGTTTTTAGTTGCAGATGGAAGAAGGTCGTTGCCTCCAATCCACACCATCGCCCTGTCAATGCTCGTCGAACCACCTTGCAGAAACCCTATGAAACCTGCAACTCATTGCTTCATCCCTTGCTCCCTGAATCCATCTTATTTGAGAGTGTCGTATCATCACTATTAGGGTTTTATAGGGGTGGAGGCGCTGCAAACTCGAGCCATAGACGGAGATCGAAGTTTTACTCTATCCACATGCGCTACAAACATGAACCTGAACTCTAGTGTTGTCGAACCTGTTGGCACAGGCCCTTGAAAACACACACGCAACACACACTCTCACGTAGTTACAACAATAGAATATGCAGAAGCTTCACTATTCTGATGAAAAAAGGTGAAAATACAAAAGGAAAATAACACCTATTTATAATTAAGAAAACAAACATGCACATGCTAATCTCGTATCTCCTATAAACTTGGTCAACTTGACCATTTTCTGTTGTCCACCTTCTAGAACATGGGTATAATCCCTTTATTTCAGCATGACTCAATCAAACACTCCTGGATCATGAACTAGATCCGACCCATGACCCGTTGAACCAACCGATTAACCCAACAATCACCCCCTTAATCGGTTGTTCACACCATTTGTTCACAGCTACCTTTAATCACCCTCCTTTCATCTCGATTCAAGACCTTTCCCGGACACCCGACTTTCACCTCCGCCACGTCCAAAGTCTTCCATACCCGATCCCGACTTTTCCCAGACACCCGACCTTCACCTCGGTCACGTCCAAAGTCCTCCATACCCGGCTGTTGTTTGTCACCACACAGAATCCGTTTCCACCTAACACTTCTGTGACACGAGAGCCTTCTCCCACCGATAAAGAAGACAAAGCTATCCGCTTTTACCATCTTCTTTCACCTGCAAAAACGAAACAAACCCAAAGCCACCTGCTTTGACGGATCTTTTCTATTCGTTTTCTTATGCATCTCCGGTAAATCTCTCCATTTTCCGTGACATACCCACAACCTACCGCCGGAATCATCACCTTGTCTTGTTTGTGATAGTCCCAACCTTTTCCGATCTAACCCGTTCCTATCTAGAGTCCTCTTCCACCATTTACGAAAACCAAGCTCATGCTTCTTCTGTTTTCATTTACCAGCTCTGAAAAAAAAACCAAATCAAAACCCACCTATTTTTGATTTCTTTTCGCTTCTCTTCTCCGCCTCTGGTTAGGCACTCTTAAACCTGGAACATTCTGATCAAGGATGGAGATTTCACCTTTGCAGTCTTGACCCTATTCACGCGTCTGCTATGAATGCATCCTCAACACCCATCTGCTGTCATACGAATAACTATAGTCACCCTCTGCGACTTACTTCACCAGCATCACATCCTGTTTCAATAGGAAAATCACCACAATAAACCGCAGCCACCTGCTGCACACAACGACCAATTTTCTGCCATCTGTATCAACCAACTGGAATGTCCGGCCAAGAAACCGTTGCCAAACACCCCGATTCCGCTGTGATGACAGCCTTGCACCCGAAGGCTCCTCCCCTTCGAAAGTCGACTCTCAAACCGACCGTCTTTTTAAACCGCTCTGATACCAATTGTTGGCACAGGCCCTTGAAAACACACACGCAACACACACTCTCACGTAGTTACAACAATAGAATATGCAGAAGCTTCACTATTCTGATGAAAAAAAGGTGAAAATACAAAAGGAAAATAACACCTATTTATAATTAAGAAAACAAACATACACATGCTAATCTCGTATCTCCTATAAACTTGGTCAACTTGACCATTTTCTGTTGTCCACCTTCTAGAACATGGGTATAATCCCTTTATTTCAGCATGACTCAATCAAACACTCCTGGATCATGAACTAGATCCGACCCATGACCCGTTGAACCAACCGATTAACCCAACAGAACCCGAACAAGACCAACGATTTCGGGAAGATGGCGGAGGAGAAAGAGAGACAGCGGTTCGTCTTCTCCGTGGTAGAAACCTGTGAGCTTGAACGATGTTTGTTTTTTTCTCCGGTGGTTATTTCAAGTCAAGACTAGGGCTTTGTGTAGAGAGAGAGAGAGGGGGAGAGAGAGAGGACCATCTATGTGCATAAAACAAAGGGTATTTTTGTTATTTGACAAAACTTAACAGAATCTGTAAAAAAAGTTAGTGATAGGGGTTTTTTGTGTGCAATGTTTGATTGGTAGGTACCATAGGGAAAAAAGTTTCGGAAAAAAAAACAAAATCTTAAGGACCATTCGTGTAATCTGGTCAAATTAATAATTCAACATACTTCCTGCGACGGAACGAGGAGAGAGTTGAAAGTTATTGTCTCTCAAAACGGCCAATAAAACTGTTCCCTCCTTTGGTCGGTTACGCTTCTTCCAGCAAAGAAAGACACAATACAGCAGAGAAAAGGTACTTCGCCAGTTCACTAGGGTCATCTCCTACCCTGATCTCCCTGTACATTATTAGGGTTTTAGTTTGTTCTTCCTTCCCCCATATTACTCCTTGTAGAATTCAATTGCACTCGGAAGATCGATTGCAATGAGTAGTAATCAAGAAGATCAGTTCAATATGGCCGATCTTAGCTCCGCTCTCCCTTCTGCTACTTCCGGTACCTCTTAATCCTCTAGTCTCTTCTTGTTTCAGTAGTTACTGAGTTTTTTTGATATTCTATTGTATGTTTTGTAGCTTTTACTGATGAGGATCGTGCTGGACTTGTCAACGTCCTGAAGGTAACCGAACTCTAAAATTAATCAGATAACAGATTTAATCGGATTTATTTTGAATTTTCATTTTGTTTCGATGGATATGTGTATGTATGTACTTCTATGTTTCTCAATGTCTTGATTTGCTCTTTTGTACAGAATAAGCTTGAGAATTTGACTGGAAAACATCCTGATTTCTTAGATACTCTTTCATCCAATGTTAGGCAGCGTGTTGGTGTTCTTCAGGATCTTCAGGTTTGACTTTAATCTATGTGTTTATTCCACTGCATTTCTTTGATCTGTTTTCAGTTCATATGATCATATCCACAACTTAAACTTCAGGGCTGTTTATTCCTAGTTTTTGCAATTAACTTCTATGGATTTCATTTCTATTGAATTTTCACAATTGATGAATTTGTGAACGAAAATAGAAATGAAAACGCACCAAAATGAAAACTTAATTCCAGTGTAAGTTGAGATGATGATGCATTTTTACAAACCTTCCTTCATACAGAGTCAATATGATGAGCTGGAGGCTAAGTATCTTGAAGAAAAGGCAGAACTGGAAGCAAAGTATATGAAGTTGTATGAGCCATTATATTCTAAGGTATCCAAAATCATTTTATCTTTTTTTTCTTTTCATTTTAGTTTGGCAATCACTTTATAAGCTTTTAATATGCTCTCAAGGTTCTTTATTTTTATTTTTTTTCCATCAAGTGGTATCTGGCTGTTCAAAAGTATTTGAGACAAAAGAAGGGAAAAATAAAGAAAAAACCTTCTTTACCTGACTTTTTCTATATTCTTTCTATATTAAAGAAAAAAAAAAGGCACACCAATACATAGCTTACCCGATTAAATCTTGTTCACTTACAGAGATATGAAATAGTCAATGGTTTGACTGAAGTTGAAGGTGTTTCAGACGATAATTTGGTAGATAAGGAAAATAATGAGTCAAAGGGAGGTAACATTTTTTTTTTTATCAATAGAAGTTTCCTATTGTAGTTTTGTTTTGACAAACATCTAAGCATTAAGACACTTTTGAATTTTGATACACACAGATAAAGGTGTACCAAATTTTTGGCTCACTGCAATGAAGTCCAATGAAGTGCTAGCTGATGAGGTGACTGAATAGTATTGGCATATTTTCATATACAATCACAAAATTCATAATTTTATATTGTATTTTTATTTTGCTTACATTTAAACATATGTTATTGATTCCATTCTTTGATTCCTTAGATTTCTGAATCTGATGAAGGAGCTCTTCAGTATCTAAAAGATGTTAAGTGGTCTCGAATTACTGGTGCCAAGGGTTTTAAGCTTCAACTCTTTTTTGATCCCAATCCTTATTTTAAGAACTCTGTGTTGTCTAAAACATATGAGATGATCAACGAGGAAGAACATATTTTAGAGAAAGCCATTGGGTATTAATATTATATGTTCTTTTTTAAAATTTCAATTTTTTTTTTATAGAAGTTTCTGCTTTGTAATTAATTATTGTTTCATGGAAAATTGTAGGACTGAGATCGAATGGTATCCAGGGAAAAATTTGACCCAAAAGGTTCTGAGGAAGAAATCTAAGAAGGGTTCAAGAAGCCCAAAGCCACCAATTACAAAAACTGAAGATTGTGAAAGCTTCTTCAACTTTTTCAATCCTCCACAAATCCCTGATGATGAAGATGACATGGATGAGGATACAGTAAGTTTAGCTCTGCTTCTTTTTCTTTTTTCTTTTTTAATGAGAAGGGTAAAATGGTCATTTTGGTGGGAAAAAGAAAGTCTTTGGCCATAAATATTAACCCCAGACACACATAATTTATTCAGTTACCACGTTATCTCTGTATGATACTTTTTTATACAGAAGGGTGAAATGGTCATTTAAACAGTAAGTTTAGCACTATGTTTTTAAACAGAAGAGCAAAATGGTCATGTATTCTCATTCAGACACTCCCTTTAAGTCCAAAAAGTAGTCTTTGTTCATACATACTGCAGAAAAACATTATTTATCCATTTCTTAAACAAAAGGGTAAAATGGTCATTTACTCTAATTCAAATGGTCCACTTGGTCCAAAAAAGAAAAATTCTCTGTTCATACATACTTCTCCAGACATCGTTGATCCATTCTGCACTTTATACATACAATATTCTTTTAAACAGAAAGGGTAAAAAGCTGATTTCTTGAATGCAAAATGATATAAAAATTGCCACAAATGTCACATCAGCATAATATTATTGGTAAATACTTATCATTGCTCATAAAGTATCTAGTTTGTGCTTGAAAAGTGTTATATGCAAATTGAAGTTGAATAGTAACATGTTTGACTTTAAAGTCAAAGTATGAAGGAACGAATTTAGTACTTTGCTTTTTATTGCCAGTTAGTAACAAGATATAACAACATTATTAATTTTAGATATTTGTTATAAAAGCTCTATATAATATAGCCTTTAACTCCTCTTTTTTTTTTTTTTTTTTTTTTTTTTTTTTTAATGTATTATGATTCTCCTCCATATTGTTTAAACAGGCTGAACAGCTTCAGAATCAGATGGAACATGATTATGACATTGGGTAGGTACTCATTAATGTGCAATTCTATAATGTAATGAAATTCAAATGACAAATTCATTGGAGATATGCATTTTCTTCATTTATTTGCCAAAAAAAAAAAAACTTCAGATTGATCAACTTGAGTGAATATGAATTTATTTTCTTGTTTCTTTTTTTTCTTCCATCAAATTTTGTATTAAAAATGTTTCAGAAAATGAAACAACACAATTGGGAAAGTGGAAGGAAAAATAAATGAGGGAAAATCTGTAATAAGTGATGACTTAATGAGGAAAGCCTTCTTTCTTTGACTTTCATTATAAAGTCGAAAAGAAACAATTGTATATAGCTTACTTTTTACTACTTTACCTTTAACCCTCCTCAATACTTTTTACTTTCTTACCCTTACACAGAAGGGCAAAATGGTCATTTACTCTCATTAAGGCAATTCATCCAGTTATTTTATTAAAAATCTTTGTTCATACAATACATACTCCAAATAGACATCATTTACTCACTCGACAATTTATCCTTACAACACTAGCAAAGAAAAAATCATTCAGTTAAAATAACAAATACTTTAGATTTGTATTCTGCACTTTGTTTCTACTTATAAAAAAATAGCTGATTTTGGGTGTGGTTAAACTGATTGCTTAAATATATGAAACCAAATTGTTTTTTCCATACATTTGAAATTTAAATTCTTTCTTATGTTTATTTTGAAGCATTTAAATACAATAGAGACTTTAAATGTTACTAAATTTTGTATTTTCCAGGTCAACAATTCGAGACAAAATCATTCCTCATGCTGTCTCTTGGTTTACCGGTGAGGCCGCCCAGAATGATGAATTTGAGGATGATGATGATGATGATGATGATGATGACGATGATGATGATGATGATGATGATGTTGAAGATGATGATGATGATGATGATGAGGATGATGATGATAACGATGATGATGAAGAAAATGTAAACAATAAAAAGAAGGTAATTTACTAATTTATTACTTGCAAAAATTTTGTCAATATTTCTAACACAATTACAGCATTCTTTAGGCCTATATAATATAACTGGGTGGACCGGATTATCAAAGTTTGTCTTTTTTGTTTTGTTTTGTTTTTTTTTTTTTTTTTCCGTTCATTATTTAATTCAAGCCGTTGTCTTTTTTTCAACTTTTTTGTCTTTTTCTTTGACCATTTCCAAAATCATTGTAGTTTCCTTTTAATTTTTTTTAGAGTAAATTACACGAATAGTCCCTATGGTTTAGGGTAATTACGCGTTTGGTCCCTAACTTATTTTTTACCTAAAAATACTATTTTGCCCTGGATTTATTTATTTATTTAAATAAACACACCCCTAATCTTACCTCCTTCACCTTACCTTACCTACCTTACCATTTTTCTCTATTTAAATAATAGTCTTTTTAGGTAAGATAGGGACCAAACGTGTAACAAAAACAAACAGTAAGGACCAAACACGTAACAAAAACAAACTGTAGGTACCTTCCGAGTTAAAAAAATAAATTAGGGACTAAACG